TAGTGAGCTGTGATTACATTCCTCCTTTTCTGCTCCTCTGCCCCCAAGAGCAAATTCCTTTGTGCCACATCTGGATGGTTTTGTTCCACTGCCACAGTACCCCTCTGAGGTCTCTCTTGCCCTTGAGAATTTCAAGGTGTAGAGCAGAGACAGTTTTGAAAACCATCATGACCTAGTACAGTAAGTGCTGTGTGAGGATATCACACAAAGTACTTTATGATCACAGAGAGAGATTAATTCTGCTTGTTGAAGGGAAAGGGGAGAAGAAGATAGACAAATGATGAGGATATAAACTAAGTGACCTTATTGAGGTACCTTTCTGTTGTGAGTTTTCTGGTTTATTAATAACCTGAGAACTGTGCTTCACTATCCATAATATTCGTACCTCTTGACACAAAAGTAGTGAGCATGGGGAGGAAAAGTATCTACTAGTTTTTAAAGCAGACCAAAAATTTTTTCATTTCATGCTAGGAAGTAGTTTTATTTAAATTTGAGTAAAAATTTTGCTTTGATATTCTCCAACATAATATTAGTTCAATTGTTAATGAATTGAAAAGGCATTACACTTTTCTTGATAGTCCTTTGTATATTCCAGCTGCTTTGAGTTAAGAGACATATGAATGGAAAAGAAAGGTAAACAGTATTTAAATCCTGTCACATTTTTAAGAGCAGTGGATTTCTAATTAAGATGAAATTCAGGATAGCTGTTTGTACTAAAGTAGAAGATCTGTGTTTCAGACCCACTGTCAAGTTGTCTTCATCTTCACAACTAACATTTTCTGAGTTTCTACAGGTATAACTCAAGTTAGTCATAATAACATGACTCTAGCAAAATGTAATTATAGGCATGTGTCTTATGAAAATAATGTTTCAAGCTTTACTATATTGTTATATATAAATTAGGGAGAAATTTTCTATCATGTAAAATTAACTCAATTACAATTTTGACGTTCCTTGATGCTTAGAGCTGTGCTGTCCAATACAATAGCCACTAGCCACATGTGGCTATTTAAATTTAAATTAATTGAAATTAAGTAAAATATAATATTCTGTGTTAAATGTTAAAAAAACATTTCAATTGCTCAGTAATCACACATGGCTAGCAGCTACTTGATTGGACAACACAGATAAAGAACATTTCTGTCACTCTGTTCAATAGCACTGGTCTAGATTTTCAAGTATATGACAGGTGTGGAATTGTTAGGATATGCACGTTGTATCAGTTAGGATTAGGTTCACTTGTGTAAGGCTAGACACCATAGAAAACAGTGGCTTAAATAAGATAGAAGTTTATTTTCCTCCCATAGAAATAAAGTCTGGAGGTAGATAATCCAAGACTAGCGAGGTAGCTTCATGGTGTAAAGAACCTAAACTGATTCTTGTTTTGCTGCTGTGCTGCCATCATATAGCTTCTACCTTGAGGTTCAGGATGGCTGCTCAAGCTCCAGCCATCAAGTCTATGTTCCAGCAGAGGAAAGAGGGAAAGAAGGGAAGCAGTTTCCCTCTTTTTTAAGATTTTGCATTTAACTGTCATAGAACACTTTGACTTATATTTCATTGGCTAGGACTTATATTTTATTTTTCACATGGCCAGTATTAACCACAACAGAGGACAGGACAGCAGTGTGTTTCTTTTGAGAGGCCTTGCTGTTGTCAAGTTCCTCAGAAGAGCCGATGAGAAATTAGTTTTAATATTTAGGAATTAATTTAAATGAATAATTTTTCTAGGAGTAAAAACTTTTTTGTAGTGCATTCAAAAACCTAGGAGAGCAATAGGAAGCAAATAATATTACCTCATTTAACTGAGGCAGAGAGGTCATTCAGAAATCACAAATTTAGTTGGATAATCCCTATTGTGCCCATTTTTCATGTTCTTGGAGCTCAGTATTGAGCTTTTTATTTTTTAAAGTAATAGTTTGTCATATTATCTATGAAATGTTATTATTGAGTTAAGACTTCAATTGTGTGGGGTTTTGCTCAGATATATAGTCCAAACTGTCCAAATTAAAATACTTTGAGATTAATGAAATGAGCAAATTAATTAGGAATGATACTTTTCAGAAGAGTAGTATTCATTTCATAATGTAATGTTTTCTAACATTTTGTTTATGTTTGTTAATAGGCAGCATAATCTATAGTTGATTTCACTAAAAAATGGAAAGTTGTTATTAATGTTTTCAGTATTATTTTTATTTACACATTTTATTCTGTTGGAATCAAAATTTTCTATTTGCCATTTTCTTTATTTTTCTTCATTTTTCACTAATTACTGTTTTCAGTACACATTTTATTCTGTTGGAATCAAAATTTTCTATTTGCCATTTTCTTTATTTTTCTTCATTTTTCACTAATTACTGGTGTTTTCAGTAATTCACTTTTAAAATGTCTATCTGCACTATCAGGAAGTTTAGAAAGAGTGTGAGAAAATACGATAGTAAGGAGGGCACATTCAACTGCCATTCTGCTTTTTGATCACACAGGCTCTTGCTTGACAGAACTTTACCACCACTGTTCTTGTAATTCCTTTGGTGCCAGTTTCATATAGCTTCTATATGTTGTTTCATATGTTCTTTCAATATGTTGTTTCATATTTCATGGGGGATGTAGAAACAGGCTAGAGTGGTCTTAGAACATGTAATAGACTCGTGTTTAAGTCAAATGTAGTTCCTCAGTGCTACACAATTAAATATTTAATTATATTCTTTTGATTCTTTAGATAGAGACCTTAAAAAGACTACATTATCAGAAGGAGATGGAGATAAAATAGCTATGACTTATAACTTAAGAAATCTTATTTCAGCCTATGTTCAAAGAGAGACAGTTAAAATGATGTAAGCTTCTAGGGCTTGTGATTCCTGTTTAACAGTTTGTGTCTTTAAGTCATTAGGTTGTTCCCACGCTGTCCAAACACTTTTTTATTGTCATTTAGGAGAGACTCTGGAAGTCCATATCTTAAGAATTCAAACAATTAATATATTTTTCTTCTTCTAAAGGGAACCATCAGTAAAACTTGGCAACAGTTGAATTTGTATTTTCTTACGTGCTGGGAGGGGACCATTACTGCTATAGGCTTTCTTTAGTTCTAATTTTGCCTAAGAGCCTGTGTAATTTTGCTTGTGGAATTTCCTAGGAAATTTCATATTTGAATCCGGTAAGAATGAAGACAGACAGTATTTTCAATGGACTTATTAGCCCAGTAGTCGATTTGTAAAGTGAGGTTAGTAGGTGAATCTTGCTTTACTATTCCCCTCTCCCCAAATTAAAATTTTAGAACAGAGATTTCTAATTGATATTGTCAGTGACTTTATTATAAATTTCTTTACCCTCATGTATTGACTTGGGGGTTGCAACCTGTGTCTTTGATCTGACTTTTTACTCTTACTCTTCTTTATCTGTCCAGTTTCATTGACTTCTTTCCCTTGGCATGCTGCGTCTTACTGTCTGCTCAGCCTTCTTTTTAAAAAGATTTTGCTTTTTGAACCTAGATTTATTTATTTTACTGATCAAGGAAAGAATATTAGGAGAGGAAGAACATGCCCAGGAGAGACTGGGAAGTCCTTTGTGGCCACTGTCTGTTATTCTGGAATTCAAGAGACTGATCTGGGTTATAGATCGACTATTAGGCTCTATCAGTATATAAGTGGTGTTTGGGTCATAGAATAATAGGAGGGTGGAGGGAAGAATGCATCAGAGTAAAGTAAAAGTGAGGTTGGTGCCCTACATAATTAAAAGTTAAGGCAGAAATGTAACTGTATGCATACAATGCTAGCAGAAGTCTTTGGAAATTTTTTAAAAGAGCTAGAAAAATGTCATGGAATTGAAGCAGTGATAACAGAGTTTTTCATTAAAAACAGCAATCAGACATCACAAAGATATTGTGAAACAAGCATTGAACATTGATTAGGACAATGTATTTATCTCCAAGGTCATCAGTGAAGGTTTGAAATTAGATGGATCTGGGTTCAAGCCATAGTACCAGCAACCACACACACAGTTAATGTAGACACAGGTGTTTGTTTCTTGAAATTCAGTTTCATTGTCTGCAAAATAAAGATAACAATGCAAAGTTTATAAAACCAAGTGAGGAAAATGAGATCTGTGATACAGAATGTCTTACATACTAGACCTGCATTAATATAAGATTATATTCCTAGATGGTAAAAATTATAGTGAAGAAAATGGGAAAGGGTGTTAAAGGAAGGATTGTAGCTAAAGAAGTAGGTTTGGTTCTTAAATGTTAGAAATGCTCTTTATGTAGCTTTGGTCTGAAGAACATTAGATTGGAATAGAAACACTTGTGTGATGCTGCACAGCCAAATGAAAGATAAGTGCCAGTAAGAGAGAACTCACTATTTTATTGAATGAGAAGAATATTGTTGATGAGAAAGATTTAAGATACACAAATTCAAAACAATCTACATAAACAAGCTCATCAAGTAACTTTGTCACAGTAGCAGCCATCAATTCTATCCTTAATATTCCATGAATCTACTAAATCAGATACTGAAATAAATAAAAAACACAAAAATTGTCCTAAAAAATCAATAGGTAATGGCTCTCAGGGATGTTTTAACCAGACTATTTAAAAATACAAGAGTATAGTTGAAATTAATTCTAATGTTTAGGAGAAGAATTGTCAATTACCAATTGCAAATTTGACCTTTGGGAAAGACCTAGAATTTTTGAATTCTGAGTATAGCTGAGAAATCTCTTCCTCTGAGACAGAATTATTACATTGATATTTTCTTCCTGTGACTCAATTATTTCCAATTTTTATTCGTATAACACAGGTGTGGTCCTTTTTAGACTGTTCTACAAAATTTGTAAGAATTAGGTATTCAAGTGATACCATTTTGGGAATTTTCTTCATCTTTTAAGTTGGCATTGGATATCTGGGAAATCTGTTCCTATTAATATTATATATGTACATTAAAAAAATTCATCTACACCAGAAGAAGCCCACAGGTATGATTCTCATGCACCTAACCCTAGCTAATATCATGACCATTTTGTTCAGGGGCATTCAAGATGCAATGTCATCTTTTGGAATTTGGCCTATAATGGGTAATATTGGCTGTAAATCATTGTTGTACATTCATAGGGTGACTCAAGGCATTTCTCTCTGCACAGTTTCTGTCTTGAACACTTTTCAGGCCATTAGAATTAGCCCCAGAAACTCTAAGCGGGCATGGCTCAAACCCCAAATCTCCACATGCATTTTGCCTTCGTTCCTCTTTTTCTGGGTCATCAATATGCTCATCTACATCTGGATCATCACAAACAATAAAGCCGTCACCAATGCCTCAGCTGCCCAACCTGGCTATTCTCTGGCTTACTGTAAAACAAAGCGAGGGGATTGCAGGGTGTCAGCAGTATTTCAGAGTGCCATGCTCATCTAGAATTTCCTCTGCATCAACCTCATGATCTGGACTAGTGGCTACATGGTGATGCTCCTCTACAATCATCACAAGACAGTTCAGAATCTTCATGGCAGCAGCCTTTCTCCCAGACTGTCTCCTTAAACCAAGCTACCAACACCATTCTGCTCATAAGCTGCTTTGACTTCTTTTATTGGACCAACGGCTGACTTACCACTTACTTGTCCTTAAAAATCTGAAAGTAACATGATGCTAGAGCACATCACTGGATTTCTGTCCTCTTGCCACCCAGCCATCTGTCCTTTGGTGATGCTGAAAAATGCCAGTAGAATTTCCTGCCTCAACTCCTCCCTTGCCAAGATGAGAATGCTCTCTAGTAAAAGGGAATTAGTGATGGCATGGTCACCACCCAGCTTTCCTCTCAGTAGAAGGATACAGTGTCATAAAAGTGTTTTGAAAGAAAAGACACAGTATTGAAAAGTGTTTGTTTTTTTTTTATTCTGCATTTGGGCTCTATTCAAAAGGTAATAGAAAAATATAGTTAAAATTTAATCAACCCTATGAAAACTATGTCTACTGCAGGATTCCTCTGAATTTTATCAGATTAAGAAATCTCATATTCCTACTTTGCTAAGAATTTTTTATTATGAATGTGTTTTGAATTTGATCACTTTTACATTTTTAAAGATTACATGATTTTTAACCCCTTTTCTACTAATGTGGTCAATTTATTTCTCCACTGCATTTGAGTAGTTTATATTTAAATGTTTATTCACTCTTTTAGTCCTGGAATTCAAATATACCTGTTGACGATATTTTATTTTTACATATCACTGATTTTAACTTGCTGGTATTCACCTATAATTATTTTTTCCACAGTGTTGTTTTATACTTTTGGTACATTTATATTGGTTCAATAAAACAAATGGAGAATGTTAAAAATATATATATGTCAAAGGAACCATTTACACCGCGCCAGCTCACTTCTGTAAGAGCTGCAATCTGGCTCCTGCCACCAGCACTTGACTAAGTGCTTATTCGAAGTTCACCAGTGATCCACTAATTAAAACTCCAGTGACCTCTTCTCTGACTTTGCATTCCTTCATCTCTGCCACATTTTAATTTTTGGCTACTCTCTCCTTGAAATTCTCAGTTCTCACTGCTTCCCATTGAGCGCTCTTCACTCCATCCTACTGGGACTTGTTACAGTCTAGTAGGACTTCCTTTTTTTTTTTTTTTTTTTTTAATCTTCCTTCCATTTAGTCACGCAAAGCCACCACCTGAAATATCACCCCTTCTCATCTCTGCCTGTTACAGATCCTACCTGAGCTTTAAGACCTACTTTATGTGTCATCTTCCCTTTAAGCTTTTAAAAATGTTCTTTCTCATTCCTATAGTCATCTAGTTCCTACTTAAAGTACTTTTAAGATGCATTTTTTTTCCCTGACAGTATGATTTTATACACATTTTTAAATCTACCCCAGCAGATATAAATCACAGGAGTAAAAAGGCCACCACTGCAATTTCCTCAATGTTGTGTATAATCAGTAACCTTAAATATTCATTTACTGTGCTATGGTAGGCAGAATAATGACTCCCCTATCATCCCTAATCCCCAGAACCTCTGAATATGTTAGGTTACATGGCAAAGGGGAATTAAGGTTAACAGATGGAATTAAGGTTGCTAATCAGTTAACTTTAAAATACAGAGGTTATCCTGGATTATGCTGGTGGGCTCAGTATAATCATGAGTCCTTAAAAATGGAAAAGGGAGGCAGAAGAGAGAGTTAGAGTGATGCAACGTGAGAAGGACTTGATTAGCCCTTACTTTAAAGGTACAGGAAGGGAGCCAAAAGCAAGGAATGTGAGCGGCCCTTAAAAAGTCAAGAAAACAGATTTTCCCCTTGGAGACTCCAGAAGGAATGCGGCCCTGCTGACACTTGATTTTATCCCAGGGAAACCTGTGTCAGATTTCCAACCTACTGAACTGTTAAGATGTACATATTATGATAATTCAGAGGCAATGGGATAAGAAAAATGGGAAAGTAAACCAATTATTTTAAGACTAAATTACTTCTCAGGGAATTTACCAATTTTACAATAAATGCTTTTTCTGGTTGTTTTTCAAAAGAATCGTGTGTAGTGTCATCCCAAGAGAAAGAGCCTTTAATAAGGCTCTTTAATAAGGTGTATTGATTTCCTTTTTAATAAGGTGTATTGATTTCCTTTTATTTGAGCTTTATAATTTGAAAAAGATAACGATACCTTGCTGTTGAACAGGGCAGCTAATAGTAGGAGCTGTGAAGTGACAAAACTAAAACAGCTTAGTAACAAGTTGGATGTCCTTTATTCAAGGGAAAACAATCCATGGGGGAGTACAGTGCCTACAAGCAGTGGAGCACTGTTGCGGAGGGATCTGGGGCAAAAGCGAGTTTTACAGAGCGTTAGAAGAGGCAACTCAGAAATAGGGCATGATTGGCTAGGTCAGGGATTTCCTTATTAGGCAAGCAGGTCCTAGTTTCCAGGCTAAGGTAAGCTAGCTAAAGCTGAGTTGGAGGACTGTGATTAGTGTATGTTAGGTTTCCTTGACACTGAAGTGTTTCCCATAAGTGCAGGTTGACTTAGGTATAGATTTGTGATAAGGACTGGGCTAACGGGGCTGCCTCCACTTCGTGGGTCCTGATATATGCATTAACTTTATCAGAGCTCAGTAAATATTACTTGAATGAATGAACAAGTGGAGTTGACGAGTGAAGGGAGAATGTTTTTATTCATTTTCTTAAGAAATGAATTAAGTACTTTTAGTTTCTCAAATGCACTGTATTCTTCTCCCTACCTACCCTACCCTGCCTCTCCTCTCATACAAATAGTGCTTCCTTTACTTGGAGCCTTCTTCCTCTTTCCCTTTGAATAAGTCCTAGTGATCCTTAAAGTCCTGGTTTACGTGTGAAACCTTTTAGGAAGGGTATTAAATTCCTTCGCCACTCATTGCCCCTCCTGCTCGTCCATACTTGTCCAGTGTACCTGCTTTGCGGCCCTATTGTACCTTGTACTTCCGTCTTAGCCTTAACACACTGCAGTATTATTACCCATTTAGTTGTCTTTCTCATTGTCATTGTCAGGGGCTATGTCTTTTTCTGCTCACTGTTGAATTCCCAGAGCCTGGCATAATGTGTATTTGATAAATATTTATTGAATGACATTCATGAAATATAGTAACAATCTCAAATGTGTCAAAAATGTGTCAAAACATATGATCTAAATTTATGTGTAAAGTATTGTTTTCAAGTTCTTTATTTGCTTATCTGTAGAAGTTCATAACCCTACCGAACATTAAACTTAATAATAGGTTTATAGGCAGAATGCAATCTCTAGCAGTAAAATCTACTTTTATTTTTAAATATACTACTGAAGTTTACTCAGACTTCAAACTTGACATTTAATCTCAAAGCTTAATCTGTTTCACCTTTAAATTTGAATTTAAATACTTCTTGGAAGTTGCCATTTTACACTTAGTTATTATTTTTTAAGAAATAATTTTATTTTTCTGTGACTTTTCTTCGTTGCAGTCTAGCATTTTTAAGAGCATATATTTAGAACATTGATTGTGTATAATTTTTTTTTAGAGAGAAAATGGCATTGATCTGTTTCTTGCCTTTTGAAAATAGTACTCTGTTGGAGGCTTGGAAGGGTTTAGGTCAAATTAAGTGGGCTTATACTGTTGATGGGCTCCTGCAGATAAAGCCACAGCCAGCTTTGGCTGGGTTGCTTTTGTGTTGATGTACTGTTTTTCCCTTGGGCCAATAGATGCTGTTTCTTGTAAGATAAGAACATGGTAGGGAAGGAAATTTGCTGTTTTGTTGCTATTTAAAGTACTGTGGAACTAGTTGGTAGAACTTGACGCACTGTTCATTTCATCCTCAGTTGAATTATTATTGTTGTTTTTCTTGCGGAAAAAAGTTCTTCTGAGATAATTTCTACCAAGTAGTTATAAGTTACAAGGTATTTTTATGGTTTTTCCATGTGAAATAAAATGATTTCTGGAGATTTGGGTCTCTTTATATTTGGTTTTAGAATCTTAACCACTAGATTGTTCTGCCTCCAGTTTAGATGATTAAAGTTAATAAAGCTAATTTTTTCCTTGGTTTTCATTGTTATTGTGAAATTTTAAGTTGGCCATTAGAAAGAATTCCTAGCAGCCGAAATCTTTGGTCTTTTATTGATAGAATAATCTTTGGTCTTTTATTGATGCTATTTTAAGCTACTGTTAGAAGAGTTGCTCCAGGAAGCTGCTAACTCCTCCGAAGCCTGTGGGACTCTCCAACATGGGTAGTAAGGCTGTGGTGTGTGTTTGCTCTAGTCCTTGGAACTCTTGGTGGAAACGGGTCTCCCTCTGAGTTGTATGCCATGAAATCTCATTGTTGTAGTTTACTTTCTTCCAGTGTCACAAACTCATGGAATGAAAGTATGACAGAGAGTGAAACTTTGCCTAGTTCCTATGGTGATGTGAGGAATCTTTAGGGGCTATTAGAAGTATATCTTTGTTCCAAGTATTCCCTTGTTCCTGTGGTTCCAGAGCTTCCCCCATCCACCCACGGAATCACTGACGTGAGTTATTTATTTCAGGATGAGGGTAGATACAGCCTTGAATAAAAGAATCATTTGCTCAACTCTGAGTTTTATTTTCAATAAATTATTTTCATGTGTAGTAACAAAACTCAAAAGGTACAAAAGGATATAATTTTACATAAATCTCCTCCCCATACTTTCTCCCCACCTGGCCTCCACCCTTTATCTCTGTCATTCAGTTCTGTGTACACAAAAGATACATGGTTTACACTCTTGTACACCTTTGCTTGTTTCACATAATATCTCTGTACAGTTCCATATCAGTATGTATAAAACTATCTCATTCTTACCAGCTATAGTAACCATATCCAGTCTTATGCTTTTACAGATAATGCTAGAGGGGTTGGTAGATGCAAACTATTACATTTAGAGTGGATAAACAACAAGGTCCCAATGTATAGGGAACTATACTCAATATCCTGTGATAAACCATAATGGAAAAGAATATAATAAAGAATATATATATGTGTATAACTGAGTCCCTTTGCTGCACAGCAGAGATTGGCACAGCATTG